GGGCTAGGTTTGAACCCACCAACTCCGGTATATGGGGGTGGGCGCTCTACTCCTTGAGCCACAGGCATCACCCATACACTGCTTTTCTTTATAAATAATAAGCTGTGCATACGATGTATATGTAATATGGGTGTTTATTGTAACGTTCACTGCAAAAATCAAAACAAAATGTAAATGAAATGTCAACCGATAAAGAAATGTTTAATTCAATTGTCATCTACCTATACTATATAATGTTACACAACTATTAAAATATTGTATATTGCATTGGCAAACACATATGTGAAAACTATTAATGATAAAAGTGGGGTGTCTGGGAAACTATGGAAGCCTGAGGGCAGGCATTTTGTCATGTTTGTTCTTTCTGTATCCCCACCACACACAGAACGGTGCCTGGCACATAGTAGGTGCTCCAAACCTATTTGTTGAATTGAATTGCTTTTCTTGCCTTAAACATGTCCATATGTAAATTATTTCATATCTTTAAAATTAATTATGTCCATATGACTTACCTGGAATGAGGAAAAAATCGTCTTCCAAGTAGTGCCTATGTTAGGTAGGTCTGAGCTCTGGCTCCTCTGGGGACAAGGGTGCCCTGCTTTGATGCCATCTCAAGCAATTGCTCTGCCTGGGAAGAAGGATAAGGGCAGGCACTCTGTTTCGGTGTTGGCCTACCCTTAATCCTAACCCAAGCCACTGCTGCATCTAAGGAAGGAAGGAAGGCTTCTCAGTCTGAGAATTCCCCTCACCCTGTCCACGTGGGCTTTTGGAGAGAGGGTCTGTATGCACAGATGGAATTGAAGACACCTGTTGATCTGTTAGTAACTTACTTCACCTCTGGAGCGCCCTCCCCTGGACTGGTCCAATAAAAGGAAGCAACCTGAGAGAGTCAGTGATTAAGGTGGTGAGTTGGTCAGTTGGTCCCTCCCTGCTCTGGGAGACAGACTCATTCTGTTTACAATAAAGAGCTGCTTATGAGAGCTTGTCTCCTGCCTGTGGTCTCATTGAATTGGCTCTGCTGGTGATTTTTTACCTCCTAAAGAGCCAGAGAACAAGTACAATAGAAACAGAAGGTTGAACTTGACATTTTAACGTGCCTGGTCATTCTTCAGCCAAGAGTATATCTAGAATCAAGGGCAGACTGCCACCCTGACACCTATAGTATTTTGAAACAATGAACAATTTTAAAATCATATGAATTTATATACGTTTTTACTTACACTTTTAAAGAAATGAAAGAGTAGGGGCCAGGCACTGTGGCTTACACCTGTAATCCTAGCACTCTGGGAGGCTAAGGCAGGTGGATCGTTTGAGCTCCAGTTCAAGACCAGCCTGAGCCAAAAGTGAGACCCTGTCTTTATTAAAAATAGAAAAACTGAAGCAAGAGGATTGATTGAGCCCAAGTTGAAGGTTGTTGTGAGTTATGATACCATGGCACTCTACCCAGGGTGACAGCTTGAGACTCTGTCTCAAAAAAACAAAGAAACAAACAAACAAAAAATGTACACAAGCTAAAACGTACACAACATGAGCTTAATGTTGGTTTCTCTAGTAGATGTGTAGTGGAAAAAGGGTGAATATCCTTTTTGAATTATTTCAAAGCCTTTTTGGGAATTTCACCATTTTTTCTCTACCTTTTGCTTGGTAATCCCACAATCTCAAACCAACTTCCCCCTCTGTATTGAAAAGAGAGTTAGACTTGGAGTACAGTGACTGCTGTTTAAAGCCTGGCTCTAGCAGGGCTTTAACCTTGGCATATGCTTGTAGTCCCATCTACTTGGAAAGCTGAGGTGGGAGGATCCCTTGAGCCTATGAGTTCAAGGCCAGCCTGGGCAACATGGGAAGACTTTCATCTCTGAAATTTAAATAAGTAAATAAATTCTGGCTCTGCCACTTATTAGCTTCTTTGTGCAAAGCACTTAACATATTTGTGTTTCAATCTTCATTGTTTGTAAAGTGGGGATTAAAATATCTCCTTCCCAATATTGTGAGAATTAAATGAGAAATTGGAAACTGGAAAACCAAATTCCTTTTCAGATATAAAGTGTTACTACTGCTGTGCATTAGTAGGAATATTATCAGAACTACACAATGCAGTGCCTTAAAATGAAATTAGAACATTTTTCTTCACTGATTCATATGTGCAGAGAATATGAATATGGAGCTAATGGATCTGTGTTTGCATTACCAGATCTGGGGATTACAGGCTGACCTTAAGCAAGCTGAGTTAGGCTCTCAGAGCCCCACTTTTTTATTTGTAAAATGATGATGGTGACACATGTAATGCTTATAGATATGAATGATTATATAAATTTTACAAGATTATGAATCACATATAGACACTCCATAAATTGTACCTATTGTTGTTTACTTAAAAATATTGTGGATTCTTATGGAATCTTGTGTTTTTAGTCTCATCGTAGATTTGTTAGCTATTACCTCCGGTCGGCGACCTTAAACATTGGTCACAGGACAACCATTATTGTTAATCTTTTGGAAATTGGTAAAATGAGCCCAAGCAAGTGATGAATTTATCTATCATTCAGAGGAAATCAGCTGCTAGGGTGTGTTTGTGTACCCCTAAAATGCGTACATTGAAACCTAATCCCTGATGCAATAGTATTAAGAAGTGGGGTTTTCAAAGGGTGATTAGGTCATGAAGGCTCTGCTTTCATAAATGGGATTAGCGCCCTTATAAAACAGGCCTGAAGGAGCTTGTATGTCCCTGTCTGCCATGTGAGGATATATCAAGTAGTTGCCATCTATGAAGCAGAGAGTGAGCTCTAACCAAATACCAAATTGGAGGCTCCTTGAACTTGGATTTCCAAACCTCCAGAACTGGGAACAATAAATTTCTGGTGTTACCCAGGCTAAAGCACATTTTATTATGGGAGGTGGATTGCTTGAGTTCAGAAATTCGAGACCAGCTTGAGCAAGAGCGAGACCCTGTCTCTACTACAAATAGAAAAACTAGCTGGGCTTGTGGAAGGTGCCTGTAGACACAGCTACTCAGGAGGCACAGGCAAGAGGATCGCTTAAGCCCAGTAGAGTGAGGTTGCTGTGAGCTATGATGCCATGGCACTCTATCCAGGGCAACAGAGTGAGATGCTGTCTCAAAAAAAAAAAAAGCATTTAGCATCATGTTATGGGACATAGTTGTGTGTGTGTGTTTATGCATGTGTATGAAAAATAAAGTAGTTAAGAGTGTCGGTCTTGGATTGCACACACACGTATTATAATCCCACCATACTTAACTACATCTTTTATATTGGTGTCTATGTTCGTGTGTAGTTTAACATCTGTATTGTAACTTAGTTTTTATTTTTAAATCAGTGTCAGTGATGTGCCTGACTCCTTCCCTTCTCCTGCCTTATGCTAATTTAGGATTATCAACTATTATGCTTTATATTTATATTAGGGCTTGCTCCTGGTTCCATTTGCTAGGCTTGAAGATAAAGCCATCTTCCTGGATGAATTCTAAAGAACCCAGATTCTACCTTAGACCCAAAGGATTTTGTAGCCATGACAATCAGCAGCAGCCTTCATATTTGCTGGGCTCTCAGGGGAATCTGGTTCCCTCTCCACACGGTCACAGTGCAGGCAGAATTCACTCCTCTGCTCAGTCATGGTGAGCCTAATACCAGCCTTTGTTCTAGACCAATTTAGCATAGCAATTTATGTTTCAAATAAAACTTGTGTTGTTTCCTGGCATGGATGTTATCTGTGAACAACCAAGAAAACCTCACTCACTTTTTCTCCACAAATGCAAATACATGGTCGATTAAAACTGGATTCTACAAAGATGGTTTTCTACACTTTTCCATCCTTGACACCTTTTGTGAGCTGGTAAAGTTAGGGTTTCATAGATAAAGGACATAAACCTCACCAGGTGCAGTGGCTCACACCTGTAATCCCAGCACTGTGGGAGGCTGAGGCTGGAGGATTGCTTGAACTCAGGAGTTTGAGGCATGTCTGAGGGAGAGTGAGACTCCAACTCATGAAAAAAAATGGAAAAACCCAGCATGGCGCTGCGGTGAGTGCCTGTAATCCCAGTGGCCTCAGAGGCTGAGGCAGCAG